AAAGGGGCAACCTAATTGTATAAACTGTGTGTGGTCATTGTGGGGGTTTATTATTCCAAGTCTGTTCTTATGATGTAAACAATGATCAAATTGGTATAGGCTAAGCAAAGCTTTTAATGACCATTGTGTACTTCAAGGAGTCGAGCAACATAAGTGACCTATATGAAATTTAAGTGGAGCCACTTCAAGGAGACTATTAGGCATAGTTCTTTCAAACTCTTGCAGAACCATGCAATGTCCATGGCTTTAAGGACATACCCATAAGAACTAAAATTCTTGTCATAGGATAGTTGCGTGAAGTATCTTATCGTTTACACAAATGGTAGAACAATTCAAGGACATCACATCTACTGGTCAGCTAGTAAAGTAAATATGTTGCCATAAGGGAAGGTTCAAATAAGGATACCTACCTATCCTATGCAATTATCGATCGTAGAGTTTATCACTACATCGAGCCAAAATGGTTTTGATAAAATGATCAATTTCATTCATGTAGGGGATTGTTGGAAAAATTCAATAATTTTGAAGCTTTGAATGAGAAATTGATCCAAACGTTGTTGAGGAAAATGTGGAGCCAATTTTTGGTGCATAAATGTACAAACGTGCACAATGTGGGTAATGTGAATGTCCAAACCGGACTAGCTCTTTGTGGGCTTGCGGATAATTTAACCCAAAGGTGAAATAATTTTTCATCAAATAGAACATTTTTTTTTCAAAATATGTTTTGGAATTAAAAGGATAAATATTAAAAATGTTCCTTTAATCAAAACAGTAATTTTGGAAATTGCTTAATTGTTTGATTCTCATTAATGCTTCATTAGGTCAAAAATTTCCAATTGCTCACAATGTGAACTTCATATAAATAGAGTGTTAACCTACTAGGTTAAAAACAACTCAAAAACCAATTCAAAAGAATTGTTTTCTCTAATTTTTGGTGATAGGAGAAGACAAGGAATAGTTTGTAATCTCGGAAGTTGTGCTACTGCGCGCTTACCATTTTGTTGTTGTATCCTAGGAGACAGATGACCAAAAATCTCGAGCACCAAGAAGTGGCCGAAAATCTTTCTTAAGGAAACTGTGTAATTGCAAGCCTCAACTTATTTCTATTTATATATTTATGGTTTTCTATTCATATTATTTAATATAATATTTTCCATGTTATTAATTGTGTTTGTTTTATCTTGATTCGTGTACACGAATTTTACGATGAGAACCTGCCAGGGAATTGAATGTCATTTGCCGCGACTTGTATAAATCACCATGGAAGCAAATTGTGGATCTATAAAATATTTGGTTTTTATTTTCTTTTTGTTTCGGATTGTTATACATCTAACCATATATATATATATATTATATGTATATATGTTATACATATAAGTATATCATATATGTATGTATATGTTATGTTTGTGTGTGTTATAAACATAAATTTATATAAGTATATACATATATATATATATATATATATATATATATATATATATATATATATATATATATATATATATATATATATATATATATATATATATATATATATATATATATAAAAGTACATACCATGGAAGCAAATTGTGGATCTATAAAATATTTGGTTTTTATTTTCTTTTTTTTCGATTTTTATACATCAAACCATATATATATATATTTATATGTTATTTTATACATATAAGTATATCATATTATGTATATGTTGTATGGTTATAACATAATTTATATATATATATATATATATATATATATATATATATATATATATAATATATAAGTACATATAAGTATATATTAAACATGATGACTAAAATGAAAGATTCTACGATTAACATTCACATTTACAAATTATGCACATTAAAGAAAGAAGAGAAAATTAAAAGTAATTAAAATGTAAACATGATTAAATTGCATTGAATTGAAAATTCAAGAAGAGATTTACAGTTAAATCATGACTAAAATAAAAGAAATCAATAACCAATTTACAAAGTAGAAAAATAATAATTGTTGGAGGAGCGCAGACCTAATTAAACTAAAAAATCTTATTGAACACCAATGCTCGGCACCAACTACTTAAATTTGCCAAATTTTAAAATAATAAAATTGACACCAAAATTTCCCAATTTCATTAAAAAATCAAAATTTCCTAAATATTTCTTTTATATATATAAATTTTCAATCTCAAAGTAAATTCATCTTATATATATATATATATATATATTTAAGTTAATTTATATTGAAATTATTAATTAATTATTACATTAAAAATAAATTAATATTATATAATCTAATAAAATCATGATCAATAAATAAATTATTTAATGAAATTAATATAAAGATTATTATAATTAAGATTTATAATATAAGGATTATAATTAATATAGAAAGTAAATTTATTAATTTAATTATCATAACTGACAATTTGTTTCAACTTTTGAAAATTAATCATATTAATTATCATAGTTTATTATAAATTCAAAATCTCACAATTTCATCAATTGTAACTTATAAGTCAGATAATTATTAAGTCAGGTTAATATCATATCAGGTCAATAATAAGTCGGATTATTTATAAGTTGAGTCAATTATATGTCAGGTTCATAACATGTCAAGTTTATAACAAGTCGAGTAATATCAGTTATTTACCAGGTTAATCTTGTGTTCGGATCATATCAGTTGGATGCAGGTCGGGTTCAATTATCATATAATCAGTTCAATTCGGGTTCAGATCATTATCATATCGGTGCAGGTCAAGTTTAGATCCACAATTTGCAGGTCCAACCTGAGTTCAGGTCAACACCAGTTATGACTCGAATCGATTTCGAATCATCACCACTCAAATCACAAATAATTTTAACTCAAATCGATTTCAGTCAGATCAAATCAACTTTTTACATCCTAGTGTTATTGTCTAACAATAAATAATATCATGGTAATACGCGTTCGACGCACATGTCGTGGAGAGTGTGAAAACTGAAAAATTGGATTACGATGGTTGTGGAATGGGCTTATAAAAAGGCTACAAATATGGTTCACGGGTTTGAATTAGTGCTTGTGTGGGACCATTCCAATTCAACTGCTATTTCTTTATAATTCTTGTTTGATTACTTTTCTTTAGATCTTTCCCGAAATCTTACTTTTTGTTAAAGGGCTTTAGCAGATGGTTCTTTTAAAAGGTGTAAGAATGGGTTTGGATTAACTGTTTGGTTATAGTAATCTATGTGCCATGAATTGATGGCGGTAATGATAATGGATTTGAATTTGATCTACATCATATTTTTTAAAGACCTTTTGTCATTTTAATTCTATTTAGTGTGATGGGATTAGTATCTATTTTATGAATGGAGACAAAGGAACAAAGCGAGCAAGGGAAGTTTATGTCAGTCTAATCAGGGACCAATGGACAGTCGTCCCTCAAAAAAGTTTCATATCTTTTAATATTTATTTTATATTTTATATTAATAATATGTTTTTGTCGTCAAATTTGTCATCTTGTGACGTAAAATCTTGCTTTCATAAGTCTAATAATGTTTTAGATTTATATTAGTTTAAATTTAAGATACCCATGTATTCAACATGCATGGTGGCTGGTGGTTATTGTTTATCTGTCTTGAGCCAAATTTCGCAATGGGAATACATAGGAGTGAGCAACGAAATTGGGAAAATCAAAAAATCGATACGAATTGAATAAAATGGTTCGGTTCGAATTTACCTTTTACGGTTCGGTTTCGGGTTGATTTAGACACTCAATTATCTTAATTAAATTCGGTTCGAATTTTTCATATGAAACCAATTTATTTCATATTGAACCGAATAAACAAGTTTGAACTTCAAACTAGTGTCCAGCCGGTTACCACTTACCCCTGATGGCCTAATATTTAGCCCAATTAAAGTAAATACAAAAATATTTTCGGTTTATCAAAAATCGCATTACCGAACAGAAAATAACCAAAAAATTCGGTTTCACATATTTCAGTTTTTATACCATTCGGTTTTGGTTTTAATTTTAAAAACCCATTTATTACAATTCGGTTCAACTTTTATTAAAAACCCGAACCGAACCGAACCAAATACACCCTTAGGAATACATGCATTTCACCAAATGGTTAAAGCAGATTAAAGTCCTTCAAACTCTAAAATTAGAGCTTTTACGGCTCGGGGTTCAAACCCAAACTACTTATATTGCACATAATTATCACCTTTAATCGTATGATAATCAGATTGCATACAAGGCGAATAGAAGATAATCAGCGTCATTAATTATCTTGAATTCTTTGGATATTATGAGGTTTGTGGAAATAAAGCCAAGGAATCTTTTCTTTTTTTCTTGGTGCATTGAGGGATGTTGTGTTGAAGTGAAATGAACCTTCTTTTTCTCCATTTGAGAATGCGTTCGAATAAGTCACGGACTCCAAACTGTGCATGAGCATCAGCAGTTGCTCTATCGGGTCTCAAAAAACCATGAGCCATGGGCCATGTGCCACCACTCCGATATTTAGTTACCTGAAAGTACTGCATGGTTTTCTAAAAACCGGCGGCTCCAAAATCTCTACTTTTCCCTACTGCTCCAAGCATTAAACGACACGAAAACAGTGACAACGATAGCCACGGCTCGTGGTAATCCCACCACCGTTTACACTTGCTGCACCCTGCTTGTAAACATGTCCCAGCTGCTATTTCTTAACGTATTTGTTCAAATTCGGATCGTCAAAGAAAAGCAACATTTTCTTACGACTGAAGTCACTCGATGGTTCTGCATACCCTATTGCTAAATCACAAGTTTTTGGCAGTGTTACATAATTCTTGTACTTTATGATTACAATCCATTAAGTACCGTGCACATTCCTTGCCCATGGTTTAGCTGAAATCCTTTATTTATTTATTTATTTTGGAAAGGTTAAAAAGATTTGTAGCTGTTTATGGAATATAAAACTCATGGCCATAAGAAGCTTTAGAGATCATATTAATTAACACAATACAAGCGGCTACATAGGCCTTGGAGACTCGAATACAAAAGAAATAAAAGACCAGTTACCATACAAATTACACACCTTTTTTTATACTGTTTCATTTGCCATAGATCCATAGAAATTACACACTTTTATTTTATAGTATTACATTTATTCGGTATCAATCCGAAAGGAAACAAGCCTACAAAGCACAACAATACAACATTGATCACTGCATACTGGATGATATTAGAACATCAAAAGCCACACAACAGTAAGAACTAGAAGAAGAAAACTGATTTAACGACATTGGAAACCAGGGGGAACTTCCTTTGAGCAGACGTTGAGAAGCAAGCTGAGGGAAAGTGGGACATTAAGGTTGATGCCTAAAATGTTAGCTTTGATTGCGATGCAAAGGCAAACGGCAGCCTCGAGATCAACGAGACCTTGGATCAGGGAGCAGCATGGCTCAACGGGAGGGGTACCAAGGGTGACGTTGAGCAAACCATCCAGCACTTTAGCGCATACACCTAGTTTAAGGGCATCTCTCGGGCACTTGCCGGGTTTTGGATTTGGATTTGGATTTGGATTAGGCTTAGGCTTAGGCTTGGGGGAAGGACATGAACCACAGGCACTGACCAGGGAAAAGAAGAGAATGTTGATTGCAAAAAATAGGACTAGAAAGGCTGTTCTTTTTGAAGCCATGGCTGTGAAACCCTAGTAGCTTCTTGCTTCACGTATAAGTGATTGACAGGATGGGGAATTTAGAGCCAAGGTTGGGGGGTTTTTATAGCGCTTCAAGTTATCTAAATTTTATCAAATTACTGAAACTAAAGATATCATACTTTATTAACACAAACCGTGGCCGACATCATATTAATTTGATTTTTCTGAATTTAGATGCAGGAGAACAATGTTTAACAAATTAGTGTAAATATCTTTTAGATCTATATAATTTTAAAAATTAATTAATTAATTCTTGTAAAAGAATTAAATAACTATAGAAAATAATATAATATATATATATATATTAATATCAAAATATTAAAAAAAAAAGTAAATTAGCAAATCAAATATGTGATAATAACTTGATTTTATTATCTTAATCTTTCTTTTTTTAAATATTTTTTTCGTCAAATCAAACTTTATTCACAACTAACATTAGCTTATAATACAGTTCAATTATTAAAAAAAAATTGGGTAAAGTACACAAATAGTGATATTGATTTATTAAGTCTTTTGAATATTAAAAGTTACAAAACGATCCTTTAATTATAGAGTGTTGTTTTATTGAGTCCCTCGACTATTAAAAGTTTCAAAATGGTCACTCGACTATTCATTATGTTTGAAATTCATCCTTTTTCTTTAAAAAAAATTATGGTATTCTGAGTTGAACGTTAACTTGCTGACTGTGATATGCCAAAAATCTGATCGCAGAATCTCAAACGACTTTCATATCCCAATCATCATGTTAACGTCCAGCTTATACAATAGTCAATTTTTTAACGAAAATGATGAGTTTGAAACATAATGAGTAGTCAGGTGACAATTTTGTAACTTTTAATAGTCGAAGGACTTAACAAAGCAATATTCTATAGTCAGAAGACCATTTTGTAACTTTTAATAGTCGAGAGACTTAATAAAATAGTACTTTACCAAAAAAAAGTTTAATTTAATCTATTTTAATAAAGAAAATTAGATTTTTCAACTCAAATAATTCATTTTTCATTGGATTGGATGATCCAATACTCACCTCTATAGTTAGCATAACAATCTGCAGAAGGCCGTCGTTAGATAAGAGAATCTAACATGGGAGCCCAACTATCTTTACAAGGGCTCATTGAAGAAAACAGCATGATACAATTCCCTTTTAGTTAATTGGAACAAGCTCTAATCAATGAAGTAATTAGGGTCCATCAAATTACTTTCATTATATTTTTTTATAATCATCGGTACTCGATTATTAGTCGGTTAGAATCATGTATTGTAAAAGTCTACTATAGGGTGATCCTCTCAACTTAATTTACTTCATCACAGCGGGATCAACTTTTCAAAACTTTACAGAATCAAAAATGGATCTGAATCGAGTCATCAACAAAGTAGTACATTCCCAGCACATGGGATCATCTTTAATTATAAACAACTTCAATCGCTGTTCCATCCGATTATTATTATTATCTCGATTTCCACTTCCCCCGCTTGTGGACTTCCTTCGGTATTAGCCTCCATTGCTCTGATTATTTAATTCATTAATCAAATCCCTTCACACCATCTGTCAAGATGGGATCTACAACATTATTTCCATCTTTCTCTCTTTTATTAAATCGTGGTTTCCATGTAATTGAATTTGATTTGAGTAGATAGTGATTACACTGCCTTACAGGAATTATTTATATAAATTAAAGTGGCTTAGGTACATATATGCCCAAATTGCAATACCAATGGTAGAAATCATTTCGTGGTGGCTGTATTGGATCTTTAAAACACTTGTTAAATGAGTGGAATTGTCGTACATTGTTTTGGGTTAAGTATGATCAAATATCTTTAAATTTGTTGTATTCTAACATTATTATCAAAGTTGGATTTGAGAGTCGATTCTGTAAGAAGAAAGCTCGAACACCCACATCATGCCCAAAGCTTGATACTTTAAAGAAATTATGTTGTCTCAAAAGAAAATGACCATAATTGTGGCCACTATGTTTTAAATTAATCTTAATTTAGTACTAATTGTTAGTTTGATAAATTATCATTCAAGACCAGTTACATGTAGCAAAATGGCTTATTGTTTTCAATCTTTGAACTTCTTAAACAGCTAAAGCTTAGCCACTTGTTCTGTTATATATATATTTTTGTCTAAGTGTATTGGCTCTTGGAGAAGTTGAAGAAATATATGAATATTCTACTCCGTGATCCTTAATGATACCAACATTTAATACATTATAGGATAATTTTTATCCAGTTCTGACCTTTTCTTACACTTATGGATGGTGAGGGTCTTGTCGGAAATAAATTAATTTGATAATACAAAGTTCTGATATTGATAACATGAAATGAACTCCAAATATGTTGTCAAAAGAACGAAGGTTTTCCACTTCCATCTCATCATATAATTAGATTGATGCTGGAATTTATTTGTCCAAATTAAGTTAAATACTTGGACCAATCACAAACCGCAGTGAACATAGTAAATTATAATAAAAAAATTGAGGTAATTAATAATAAAAATGATGCGATAAATATGATGGAGTCCAAACACTCCTTTGATTGCTCATTACAATTCGACATGTTATAACATCTTTTTACTTTTATATTAAAGATTATCATTTAATATTGTTATACATCCGAAGATTGGTTTCTCCTCCGGAAGTGCAACTTCCCGTCAACCTACTAATAGCATCTCCAAAGAAATTCATCGGAGACCAAAAGTCATCGACAAGATCATCAATAAGACCATTGATGAATTTAAGAGATTTATCATGATCATATGCACTAACTAGTGATTGTATTTATAAATTCCATTTGCCTATATATTTGTAATCATGACTCTAGACCTGATATAAATATGCAAAGAGAATCAATATATAAACCTAATGATAGACTAGGGAAAAGGACTCCGATTACTCTCTTTCATTTTGGAACATTCCCTTTTCAATCTTGCATCCATATATGTGTCATCATACCACCGGTAGATCAAGTTTAAGTATTAAAACAGATCAAAACCAATAATTTAGATAAATGATAGTTTACCCTAATAGTTTTAACCCAAATATATTGTAAATGAAAATAAAACTACATGATTTTAAGTCTCATCCCATAGTATTCTTCCCTTTTGTCTTTCTTGCTATGTTTAATATAGAGAAAAAAAATCCCATCGAAAAAGTTATATGAACTTTAGACCAATATATTTAAATAAGGACCCATATTATTAATATAATTAATATATAAATTTACATGTGAGGTGTAATATTATTAAATCTGTGTAGATATGACAGGAAAATGATTACCGTGGATAAATTATTTTAAACAAATTAAATAAAAAACATGTGAAAATGTAAAAGAAGACTTAAGTTTAATATTATATTTGAATTCATCAAGGTACCTCAATTGTAGAAGATAATATTATTTTCTCTAAAATTTCTAGATTCAAGCAATTAAAATTTCTAGATTCAAACAATTACGTCAAGTGTGTATATTGTCATTGTTTAAGAAAATTTTGGACAAACACTTTGTATTTACTCCAGACTATTAAAAATTAATATTATACTCGATTAAAATTGTATATAATATAAGAACAAAATTAATTAATATAATATTAAAGTTAACCCAGTATTTGTACAAATAAAATCTTTACTCTTTAGTTCACATTCTTTCTTCAAAAGTATTCCCAATATTTCAATCTTTTATTAAAATGGTGAATGTTAGATGAAACCTATTGGTTGACTAATATATTTTGATGATGTAATATTTAAACATATGTTTAGTTTTTGACATTTAGTGGCATGATACAACATCTTCTTTGGTGATTTAGCATATGACATGTCAATAATTTAATACATGTAAAAATGTCACATCGATTATATGAATGATTAGTAGACAACTAACAATTTCATTTAGTAGGAACCGCTTGAAACGCTAAGAGTTAAAATGCTTAAAAAAGAATTAAAGACCAAAAATGACCATAAATATTTAAGCTAATTTTAGTATTATACTGAACTAGTTTCAAAAAAATTCCAAGCTTAAGCTCCAACCCAGACCACCCCATCCAAATTGTCTGCTTTTAGTTAAAAGAAAACATTAATATTTAGGGTAAAGTACAAACTATCCCGACTATAGGATATTATTTTATTAAGTCATTCAACTATTAAAAGTTATAAAAAATCTTCCAACTATAAAATTTTACTTTGTTGAATCCCTAAAGTTAATAATTACAAAATGGTTACTCAACTATTCAATATGTTTCAAACTCGCCTTTTGTTGTTAAAAAATTAATAGTCATCTAAATTGAATGTTAACATAATGACTAAGGTATGATAGTCATTTGAGATTCTTTAATTAAATTTTATCATATCAAAATCAGCACGTTAACGCTCAGCTCAAAATACCATTAATTTTTTTATGGAAAGAGACAAGTTTAGAACATAATTAATAGTCAAATGATCATTTTGTAACTTTTAATAATCGAGAGACTCAATAAAGCAACACTCTTTACTCGAAGGGCTATTTTATAACTTTTAATAGTCAAGGGACTTAACAAAACAATATCTTATAGTCGGAAACCATTTGTATATCTTACCCTAATATTTATATATGTTTATAATTAAATTTAAATAAAAATATTTTTTAACTGTTTAAATTATATTCAAATCGAACTAAATGGATCACTCAACACAGAGACTATTTAATCTAAAAAGTTTGAATTGGCAAAAATAATAAATTTCAAGGACCAGATTATCTAAAACATAACATTATAATCTAAAAAATAAAAGATGATTACATTCTCATCGTATTATTCCCAGGTAGTATTTAACATTGATAACCTTGCATTAAAATAATGCCATTTTAGAATCTTAAGTTACAAGACTTGAACCAAACACACTTCAGCATTTTGACAAGCACATGAGTTCAAGCCTTGTCGACAAATACGTTCGGTGGACAATATGCAAATACCACTATTAGTGTGATTTACCAATTTTTCATACAAAAATCGTTGAAGAAATTCATTATAACAACAATATTATTTTAATCTGAATTCAAAATTATTTTTAACAGCAGCACCAGAGAAACCACCTACTAAACTTCTCCAAATAAGGTATTAGAAGATCTTACCATATCAACGGTTGAAAAGCTACCCTCAGTCCAAATCCATATCATTTTCCTTTTCAATGTTACCTGCAGTCCATAGCTTTATAGTTCGATCATGAGAGACTGTCACAAAATATCGCCCATCTGCCACGCAAAAATACAAATGAGTGCTCATTGTACTAAAATAAAACCATTGCTGGATATTTGATAATCAATAGAGCGAAGTAAAGATGTTAATTGCTGACGGTCATGCAAAAAGAAAATGATCACTCTATTTACCATCAAACAAAGCTAAGAAGAAATCATTATAGGCTAAAGGCAAAACCAAAAAAGTTGATGACCCTATCTCTTTTCCACCCTTGAAACCAGGTTAAGAGACAAGAGGACGGACCCAGGGGGGCTGGTGGGGCAGCCGCCCTCAGAATATTTCAAATTCTCACATAATTTAGTTATTTTCTCATATAATTCGGAGGTCTCCACGGAAGCTGCTCTCAATCTGGCGTTGGGGGCAGCCTACTATCATACCTCCCCCTTACCCCATTACATATGGGAAAAAAGGGTCAGCTAATTATTTGTATTTTCTATTGATAATCTGTTTTTTTCCCTCGCTAAAATTTTATAAGTTCTCCCTCCAAAATTTTACAAGGTTGCCTCTCCTAGCATAAAATTCTGCTTCCATCCCTATAGAATGGAAAAGAGGACTGTATAAAGAGTCAGGAGCTTTTATTGCTTAAGCTTGATATCACCAATAGAAACAAATAAGAGAAGGCTCATTAACCACCCCCTTTCCCTCCCCTCACAGTTACTAAAGTTTGAGTCCGTTGTCTGCAGAAAAGATATGAAAAAATTGTAAACAAAATAATGGAGTAAAAAAAACTTCAACTGCTGTGCTGCTAATACATGGTCTTAGTTGTTCCAATCCGAAACTAATAAGTAATAACATTATACATGATAGGGTGCCAAAATACATGAAACCGGTACTCACTAATTGTGTTTCAGAAGTTCTAGTGAAGGGCAGAGGGTAACAGTCAGCACTATACAAATAAGCATTTGAAGAAGAGTGGAAGAAAAAGAAGAGATTCAAGCATTACTAATTTAAAATTCAGGAAGTTACCTTCGCTAATATCTGAAGCGGTGACTTTTGCTTCATGGCCAGGTAAGCTTTTAACGGGCTTAAAATCTCTTCCAGACCAAACCTGACAAATCACATACAAAGCTTAGATGGTATATTAAAAAAATACTTCAAATATAAAGGCAGTTGTGTTTGGAAAGATAGGTGCACCTTTGCAGTCATGTCATAAGAAGATGTGACCAGGTAATATCCCTCTTGAGGCTCAAACTTCACTTGTGATATAAGATTTGAATGGGCGGGTATGGTGTACAGAGACTTTTTCTTCCTCAAATCCCATATGCGGCAAGTATTATCTTCACCGCCTGTGGCTAAATGATAGCCATTAGGTGAAAAACTAGCACCAAGAACCTGAAAAGAGTGGCAGAGATTTGCGGACTTTAGTTATCAAATATATTTCAGGTAATAGAAATTATTTCCTTGCTCCTAAAACTTCTATAAATTTATCTAAAGGTATTAACAAGGCAATGTCTTTCTACTTGCATAACCAAGCCTTTAAAACTTCAAAATAAATGTAGCAACATAGCCTCCCAATTTTGGGAATCCAAGGAAGATCCAAAAGTTTCCTTTCGAAGTAATTACTAATGAATATGAGCTACAATCAAAAGTATAATTTTCCATGCATAACCAACCCCAAGCCTGTAAGGCATGCAAGTGAAACTTATAGTAGTTACTAACTATAGATTAGGTACTTTAGTGAACTATTGCTACTAAAGATGCCCTACAATATTTTCCTCCTGCATGCATTTGACAACCATGACAGTAAAAAAAGTGAAACAGCCATGAATTATGATGTCTTACTGGCTTCACGTGGCCTTCCAAAGCAAGAATACTTTTCCCAGTGCGAAGATCCCAAACACGAGTAAGTGCATCAAGTCCACAGGATGCTACTAAAGATCCATCTTGATGGAAGGCAATTCCATAGACACTCCTACTGTGACCTTCTTGGAGAAGCAACTCCACACCACTATCTATGTCCCACAGTCTCCATGTTTTATCAAAGCTTGTCGTACCAAGGTACTTCCCTGAAGGATGGAAGGCAATACGTGCAAGGCGATCCAAATGACCCTCAAATGTCTTCAAGAGAGATCCATCAGGGCTCCATAACTTTGCTGTTCGGTCAGCAGAAGCAGTTGCTAAATGATCATGCACAGGAGAAAATGTAACATCCGTTGCACGTTCTGTGTGACCCTTTAATGCAGAAACCTTGCTTAGCCTAGGCATTGACCACAACTTAGCAACTCCACTCAAAGAGCTGCAAAAGAAGGAAAGAATCTAGTTACAATCTTACATTCTTGTCATCTTTAGTGGTCTCAAAACCATATTCTATAACTACCCCAGGATGATCAAATTTAGCACTCTGAACAACTGGAAATTTGCATAACTTAAACTTGTGTTCACTCCTTTTAATGATGAAAGAACAAATTTTAAAAGCAAAGAGGAAAACAAAATCAATAAAGACTAAGCCCTATTCTTTAATGAAGATGAGAACAAAGAGTCCGAAGCAAACCAGGTGGCTAGAAGTTTTCCATCACAAGAGAAAGAACAACCCGAAAGTGGTCTATCGTCTCCAATTTCACTGCAATCAAGAGCCAAATTCCCCGCCTGCCTTAGAGCCCAATCAATTTCAGCATCGATATCTTCATCTGGATCATCCCTTTTTCTCTGGGCACGTTGAAGACGTGCAGCTGCCTTTACAATAGAGTACTTTGCAATATCAATCCTAGCATCCAAAAGCTCTTTTGGACCATAAGTATAAAAGGGATATTCGATGTCTTCTTCAATGTCCTCTGCCTTAGCAGAAATTGCAGCCTCTTCCTCCTCATGAGCTTTCATTAACTTGTCCAATTGCCCCTCAGCATCCAGCTTCGCCATAATCATTCGCAGCCTTTCCCTCCTTTCCATCTCTCTTTCTCCAAAAAGAGTTATAGGTTCACCAAGCCGGCGAAGTCGAGTACGGACAGCCATGTCATTAGTGGGCACTGCTAGCGCAGCAGCACGTCGTTTCATCAGAAGATCTTGCATTGCCTTTTCTTGCCGCTCTCTAACCAGTCTGCTCTCTTCTGAGATCTCATATTCCCCACCAGTAGCTCGCCCATCATCCTCATGGTCAGAGTCTGAATCACCAGTTTTCACCTCACCATTTTGAGACACAGGTGGCTTAAGGACGGGAGGGCGACCTGGGAGAGATGCCAATGGGTTGACAGCCAGGGGAGGAGGAACTGCAGGTATTGGAGCAATAGATGGCACAGCTGCAGGTGTGACCACAGGCGGAGCCATAGGCTGAATTGGCGTATTATCATCTGTAGACACCGTGGTTTTGCCATCAGGAACAGCGATTGAAGCTGGACTGTTGTCATCATCAACATCCATTGAACCTACACAAATGAAACTGAAAATCAAATAACTTTATACAGTCCAGAGAAGGGGGAAATATGTTTTCTCCATCATTTCAAGGCATAGCCAAAAAAGAAAAGCAAGGAAGCACAAATGCACAACAAAAAGGTTATGAGAAATTTGAATCTAAACTACTTAAAATAAAAGCATACCTAAAAAAATGCAACTACCAGCCCCGAGAGTCAAAGATTTGATCGTTTAGAGACCAATAATTGTTATAATGAAAAGGGTATCTTGTTCGAACTCTTCTCCTAACTGAAAACCAAGCATATGAAAGTTTTTTGAGTCGGACAAATCAACAAACAGATGGTGAGCCAAACTGTACCATTGGAAACAAAAACTTCCAAAAAAATTGTTTTGCAGAAGGAAATAGTCAACAGAAATATATATGAAGATTAGAATATCCATTTAGTGAAAAACTCAACTATAAATAACTAGGTTATTGCACAGCTAAAACAATTAAACAAAACTGAGTTAAGAAGCAAAAAACGAATCAAAATCTAAACCTAATAAATATCAGCAATTTAGTACTAATGTCCAATATCAATGGACATCGTTATTGCCAACCATACCTGGGAAAAAAAGTTGCAGAAAATCGGGGAGTGGTTTGGGTGGCGAAGGAAAGGTTGGAAAGTGGTAGATGCGAACGGTGTTGAATGTGAAAGAAATTAAAGAAAATTGAGAGGTTCAAAACTGCAAAATGAGTGAAGAGGAAAAGTCTGAGAATGTCTCGGGAAAAGCAGGTTAATATACTGCGTTTTCGGATATATTAAAAGATATTTAATAAATTCGGTTTAGCGTTACTAAAAATGTTGAGTAATAATAATATAGTAGGTCTAAGTCATGAAGGAATATTAAAAAGTTTGGCAACCAGTAAACTTAACTTGTCGGTTTGTGTCGATCCAAATTAAAAATGTATCGATCCATATCAATATAACATGTCAAAATATCAATAAAACCGGTCACGAAAAGACAATATCGGTAAATCCTTACCGGATATATTGAATGTGTCGATACTTTAATATAAAGACCGGCACTTTGTGAATTTAAAAGAGAATCAGTTTTAACGCCTATAAAGTGTCGATACTTTATAAAAATGTATCGATCCACAACGATATAACAAGTAAAAATATGAAAAAATTGGTATCGAAATAATAAAACCGGTAAAGAGCTACCGGATATATTTAAAGTGTCGGTACTTTAATATAAGTATCGACACTTTGTGAATTTAAAAGAGAAGCAGTTTTAGCGTCTATAAAGTGTCGATATTTTATAAAAATGTATCGATCCACAACGATATAACAGGTAAAAATATGATAAAATCGGTATCAAAATGATAAAACCGGTAAAGCGCTATCGGATATATTGAAAGTGTCGATACTTTCATAAGTACGTGTAATAAATTATCGATACTTTCAAAGAAATAGGTAATTATTATATCGAAAGTATCGACACCTGACATAAAAGTATCGACACTTTGGTAGTTGTATCGATTAAATATAAATAACATATCCGATTAAAATATAAAGGCCGATAAATATCCTCTGAAAATAGATAGAACAGACGAGTTTTTGAAATCGAAGCGTAATTGTTGCAGCATTTCAGAAGGCGTTTATAAAGCGAAGTTTGTTTGTTTGTTGTTGCAGTCGAATCGAAAAGTATGTTGTTGAAACCTTAGTTTTTTATTATTACAGTAATTGCAAATAGGGTTTTTATGTGTTGTTTGGCATTTTGGAGTAAAGAAGCATTTGAGATCGATTACAGGTAGAAAGTGATATTCTAGGTAAAATATAAATGTCGATACTTTTATTAAATATTATAGGTAGAAAATGATATTATAAGTTGTATAAATGTGCCGACACATTTTGTAGTGGCCATTCAAATTCTTTTGAAGAAAACCGTTTTACCACAAGAGTAGTTATATATATTTGTATATTGAATAAAGTGTATGTAATAAGTATTTGATTTGATTTGCGTAAAATGATATATGAAGGAAAAATGGAGTCAATGAGTGGAAAAATTGTTGGTGGCGCAGATGACTTTGAAATTGAGGTCGAGACTCGAAAGCAACCAAATGGTGGATATATGTACTTGTACTGAGTATCAATGTCTTTTTGTTATTATTATTGAAATGGTAATTGGATTAAAGTATTTCAGAACTTTAAATTGATTACAAATTTTAAATGTTGACAGTATGGCCGAATGCAAAATGATGAAGGAAGATGGCACACAGAGCTATTCGGTATGTAAAATGAAATTGACATTGAGTATTATTTAGTGTTAATGTATTAATTAAGAAACATTTATGCTTAATATTAGGTGACAAAAGATGTGAGATCCAAATGGAATTCGATGAGTGATGCTGAAAAGGAACCTTACATCACACAGTCAATGAATGATAGTAAAGAATACAAAGAACGGGAGAAAGCACATGAAAATAAGGTATTCATTAAACTTGTAAATACGTTGATACAAAATATATAAGAACTATAACATTATATATTGTTAAAAAATGTTGGAAGTGTCGACAATGTGCAACATTAAAAGGGTTAATTCATTAATTAAACACCTTAAGGAGAAAGGTCAGTTGAATGTGCTGGGAGAAATAGGTTTTGGATCGTTGGTAGGAGTAAGGGATCGACCTATTCGGAGGGAATTATGTCAATCCTTGATGGCGCAATTTGGTGTCAAACAATGTATAGCTAAGTATGGTGATTTTTCATTTCCTCTCGGGATCCCATGTGCTGCAGCCATATTGGGGGTAGAAAATGAAGGCAAAAGTGTTGTAGAAGTCTGTAAGATTAAGGACTGGAAAGCACTTGCCTCCAAATATGGTTTGAAGCAGAAGGTGACATATGCTGAAATTGAAGAGGAAATCAAAAGTGGATCTTACGGGGGATGAGCTGAAGGCCAGAGTTCTATTGTACCTTGTCGGTATCTTTCTTTGTCTAACGGGTGATACATCAACGAACAAGGACTATATGAAGCTCATTTGCGATGAAGGCTTGAAGGGTGAATTCAGTTCGGCTGAATATGTCCATTCGAGATTGATTGAATCAATAATCACCTTTAAAAAGGGCAGCCAGAGATACCTCAAAGGGTGCATAGCAATCTTAGAGGTAAATGAGTTGAAGAACTCTTTTGTGTTTTTATATAAAATGATAATATAGTTATTATATAAAATTATAAATTTTATTATAAATGCAGGTTGCACTGTTCAATTTTTGGTCGGGCTGTGGGGCTGTGAGGCAGTGCCGACTTATGAAAGAACCGGAGTGGCACGCATCCGTGTATGGGGGAAGGAAGAGGTGGTTAGAGTGATGGGGAAGTTGAAGTTGGATAGACCGATAAAGCAAGAAAGGGTAATAAATGTAATTAAATAATATTAAGAATATAATCAATGTCTTAATATTATAATTTAATTTTGAAGGTTATTGGCAAGGAGGTAGAGGAGGCAGTGGAGGCAGAGGAGAAGAAAGAAGAGATGATTGTAGTGGGGGATGACGGTGAGGGAAAACAGAGTAACTTCGACATTTTGATGGTTGAATTGGCTGATATCAAAAAAATCCAATTTGATATCATGCAAAGACAATCGAGAGTTGAAGAGAAACTTGAGAGAGTCAAAGAGAAACTTGAGAGAGTCGAAGATACACTTGAGAGGCATAAGGGGGAAGTGGAAGGAAAAATAGATGGAGTGGTGAAAGAAGTAGAGGTGTTGAGGGGTGAAGTGGTGAAAGAATTTGAAGTGTTAAGGGGTGATCTTAAGATGGTGACGGGTGAAAAAATTGATGGAGTGGTGAAGGAGGTTGTGGAATTGAGGAGTGAACTTATGGGGGTGAAGGGGGTGATTGATCAATACTTGGATGAAGGAGATCAATTGAAGGGTGAAATAAAAGAGATAAAGAGCTAAGTAGAGCAAAAATACGATGAACTGAAAAAATATGAAGAAGAAAAGAGGGAGGAGGTAGAAGAAAAGATGGAAGAAATGAGGAGGAATGAAGTCGATGTCATTTATACACCGGAGAGTGTTCTAGCAGCAGATTTGGATTCGGAATGTCCTGCACCCCAGAAGAAGAAGCAGAAGGTAAGTTGAATAAAAGAAAACTTAATTTGATCTTTATCATATTGTTGTGACAAAAATTTGTATGCAAAATTGTAGGTTGAAAAAGCGGATATTCCAAGCGGAATTGATGACATCGAAGCTGTAATTTGTGATTATTTATGGAATAGTGAGTTAGAATCGGGGTAAGTGATATATATTGCTTTGTGAGTGATATTTAAATATTTCATGACAACACATTAATCCTAATGATTCATACAAATATTCTGTAATCTCAATGGGAAATCAATTCGCTAGTGTATACGACGTTGCAACGTTGAATCCTACGGAATGGGTTGGCGGTGTGGTAAGTAGAAAGTAGAAAATGTTAAAACTTATTGAATATGTTCTGATTGTGTAATTAATTTTGTTAGGTTATTGATTTGCTCACCTGGACAGTATGCTACGATTCTCAAAAGTCACTTCGGAGGATTAGCTACCTTCCATACCTCTTAGCGGTGAGTTAAATTAATAAATATTGAAAAGTAGTGTTATAGACAGTAAATTAATAATGTTTGTTGTGTAATTACAGAAACAGGCGTTGGATGCCATCAACAAAGAAAGTGCTAAGAGTATTGCTACCTTTTGGGTCCCATATTGGATAACTATGTGAAATTTACCGACTGTGAGAAGGTAAGACACCATACCAATTGCAAATGATGTTTTTGGATATAGAATGTTGAATTTTGTCAAATTGGGTGTGAAATTTGTTGCAGATCATGATCACAATAAACTACCATAATTCACATTGGTATCTGTTGGTGTTGGATATGGTAGATCGTGTTGCAACAATATATGATAGTATGTTTACATCTGAAGTAGCTAAACAGAGAGTGAAGGATGCTAAGAGATTGGTATGTATGTATGTATGAAAGAACATTATGTAAATTATAATGCATAATTTTTTTTGATCATAACTTCTTTTTATTTTAATGCATATTAAAATATTGGATTTTTATAATAAGAAACGCATTTGGGTTGAATACTGTAGATCTCTAGGAAAGTTCCCCTTGAAAAATTTCAAATTTGTGGAGCATAAGAAGAATAAGCAATTGAATGGGTATGAGATGTTATCATAAATAGAAAGCTTAATTTATGCAGGATTCATAATTGACATGTGTGGTTTTCAAATTTTGTAACAGATATGATTGTGGCATGTATGTGATGATGTGGATGGAATCGATCGATTCTACAGGGGCAACTGGTGATTTTGTAAGTGGAATTAAAAATTCGTTTGTGGTAAAATTGTTAAAAGTAGTAGATTGAATGATGTGGTTTACAATACTTAACGTTCTGACAATTTGAATATAGGTTGTTGGAGAGTGGGATCGATCGCGAATATTAAACGATCTCATAAGCCACAATCAAAATCAACGAAGACAGGAGATAACAAAAGCTGCCATGAGACACAAGAATAACAAAAGGATGCAATAATGTAAATGTAGGGTTAATTTTTTATAAGATTTATAATTTTGTATAAGATTTATAATTTTGTATGTGAATGTAATTATGTATAAGATGAGAAAAGTTAGCAGTAGGTTGTTGTACATTTTTTTATACACATTAAGAGTCATGTTGATACGTACGATATA